TTTGTATCAATGGTTTCTGTGATGTAATCCAGATAGTGCAGCTGACAAGTTGTACAGGAACGCTTACCGAGGAACTCATGCTGGACTTTGTTAAGTAGTACATGATTCGCTATTAATTAATTTTTCGAGTAATCAAGTGATGATGGGTGTATAATGGATAGGTCGATAATTAGTGATGTTCTGTTTGGACCCTCTTTATGACGAGGGACAGTAAACGATGTTTTCAACTGATGTGGAAAGTAACCAGATTCTAACGTGAACATGTTCAGCAAAAGCAGTGATTTTTCAGGTGCACCGACTTTATTGACTGATGGAGGATGCCATCGGGGCGTAGTTTGAGCGATGGTTTGATGGACTTCATAGCCTGTTGGATGGTCCAAAGAGAAATCTCGACATTATGTATGACGCTTGTTGTTGTAAGTTCCGGGCAGGAAGGTATACGGTCGGTTTCTACGTTCATGCACCCAGCGAAGAACTGAATGCTTCATAAATAGCAGGTGGATTGCTAAGATGGCGACCCTCATTGGTTGGTTCCGTGATCAGTGACATCTGATCGTTAGTTCTATGACGGAGTTCTTTTATCAGTTCCTTTTCCTTGCATGTCATCCGCAAAGCATTCTCCTTTTCCTTTCCAATCCGTTTCATTTGTGAACGCTTGATCCAGGCGACGGATTCGTATAACTGCAGTAGTAGTGAAAAACTTTGGTTTTTCTGAATTTCTCGATTAATTTTCTCGTTTACAGGTCACGGAGTATCACTTGTATTCTTAAGATCAGGAATGTCATGTTCATAATCTGGGGTCGGCCCGTAGCCCAGGGGTAACAAACTTATCTGGTACTCTTGCGGCGCGGGTTCGAATCCACGTAGGGTTGAGCGTCCTCGCGGTATACTCAGCCCGCGTGCGACTGGTGGTGGTCGCACGGCAGCGAAGCGCCATTACGGTGTACAGCTGACACATTAGTTATAATGTTGAACAAGTATAGCCATGATACTATTGATCTGGTAATATAACTGTTCCACTGCAAGGGGGTCGCTAGTGAAGAGAAAAAGGCAACCCATTTAGTGGACCGGATCAGCTTTTTGAAATGTTTCTATTATGATTATTTATAGTACGATGGATAGGCAAGTCGAATTTGATATTCATTTCCATGTAGGAGGTAAGCCGTAGCATCTTTTGGTCACTACCGGGAAGGTTATCTAATATGTCATTTTGTGCATCGGGGATCCACAAGGTGAATATTAAATCCAGTACGTTGGCACACCTAGTTGTTCTGATGACCCACTGAGTCCAACCCCCAACTCTGATAGTCGACAAGAAAGATCTGTGCAATGGTAAGGATAGTTGTGGTAACCAAGTAATATTCGGTAGATTGAAATCGCCAGCGATTATCTTTAGCTCATGTGGTAATACCGATGCGAAATCAAACGCCGGTGAGATAATTGCGATATCCCTGGCTGTCACTTTCGTGGGGTTGTAGTTGCAACCGAGAAGTACTGTAGAAGAGGCTGCAGCGACTGATAGCCATAAGGATTCAGGGACATTGTTTAACTTTGGGTAGTGGATAAACCGCTCTGAGTTTTCGATGGATATACGATACACCCGCCTCCCATTTTTGTGTTGTCGTCTGTCCAAAATAGATGGTATTTAGGAATATCTCAAGTAGCATCCAATGTATCAGAGGATCACCATGTTTCGGTGATGAAGATTATATGTGGGACACTTAGCTGAATAAGCGTGCTTACAAACTGCAACTTGTCTATTGATCTGGTATTAATTAGTATAGGTGAACATGTGTTCTGTGGACACTTCAGAGGATCAAGAATCAGAAATAACAGGCAAAGGAGTGGGTGATGGGAACAAAGCCATCGGTGGAATGCTCACATGTAGGAGCATTGTTCGCTTTACTAAGACTGGGCTGGCGGAATTTATGTTATTGAGCTAACTGTAACATTTGGTTAAACTGCCAGAAAAGTGTAACAAGATAGGCTGTCTCTGTTGGGTGTGCTAATGGTGGGAATGGATGCGGAGCCATTCCCACTTCCGCTATGAAAGGGTTATAGTAAAGTAATGGATTGGGACGGGTTGCATGACTAAGTGGTGTAACAGGTGGTATTGTCAGGTTTCAATGTCTCCGGTTTTCATATCTTTGCCTAGAGTCAATGTGGACGGGTGTCTGGTATGTTGGAGGTTGGTAGGTTTGTGTAACCAGAAGATAATTGCACGAGTTCAAACATGCTCGAAGTAACGCGTAGTGTTGCGAGGCAGTTGTTGACACGGAGCTTTGAGTGCTACCGAGTTTCTCAGCTGCATATTTCTTGCAAATACCATTTGTCGTTGTTAAGGCAGTTGACGTAGAAAAGATTGGGGTCTTTCGAAAAGCATCAAACGCTGCGTTCGACACTGGTGCATTTGAAAGAAACGTTCTCCACAAACAAGACCACGGATTACCGGAAGGTGGAGCATTATGCACAGCCACAGTAATAAATACCCGGAGTTTGGTAACTCAGTGCTCCAGATGAACTAACAGGAACATGGTTAACAAACTGTGATCTCTTCGCAGCCTGCAACCATCGTAATTGTTGACAGCGATGATAATAACTAATCACCGTTGTAAACGCTATTCAATGTCTAGTAACTAGCTATCTTTGGTTTTAAACCGTTTTCAGGAACGTTAGTGATACAATGAGGGAAAATAACCTTGTTTTGCTATGGTAGCTTGTGTTATTGGCATATACTACTGACTCCGAAACGCCTTTCGTCATCAACCCCTAGTGTCATTTTGGACGATATGAGAAACCATGACCAACTCAACTGCTCTTTGGAGATTAAAAATACCATGAAGTCCACCGGTAATGTCAAAAATCTCGTAGTCGCGCCCTCCGACTGGATATATCTACAGGAAAGTGCTGTATTCTGTATTGAATTCACATCTCAGGCAGCACACTATCTCCATCCCCTTTCTTGTACTCGCTTTCGCAGCGTAGTGTGTCGATAATAGGGGACTGTTTCTTGACTCCAGTATTTTATTGGTATCCGTGTTTGGTTGAGACTCCGGTCTCATGACAGCCGATGGGAATGTTGTGATTTCTCCGTGGTTCTTACATGCAGTCCTGACCAGTCACACACATTTTTCCCTATAAGTATAAATGAAGATCGCGGGCACTGTTTTCTCATAATCGAAAAGCAACCCAGACACAGAAAACATGTGTTTACGGATTGACTTTTTCCAATAAAAAACAGTATCGGCGCTTCGCTGCTTCGCAATCACCACCAGTCGCGCGTGGGCTGAGAATGCTGCGAGGGTCGCCTGATCCCCTAAGCAGATTGAAACCCGAGACATCCGGATTACAAGGCAGGCTTGCGATCCTTATTATTTCCAACTCGACCCTACTCTATGGTTGTGAAACCTGGCCTATTAGATCAGTAGACGTAAAGAGACTAGTTACGTTCGACAACTGGTGTCTTCGCAGTTTGGCTCGTATCTGGTCGGAACACCGCGTTAACAATGAGCGTGTTCGACGTCGCGTATTTTGTGCAGGAAAAGCAAGCGAACCGCTCAGCACCGTTAGTTCATGCACCTGGCTGCGCCATTTGTTGCGCATGCCATCACGCCTACGTCCGTGACGTGTGTTGTTTGCGCGACCGGGATGTGGGCAAGAGGTGGCCAAGCGATGACTTGGTCAAGAGGAATGAAAGCTCTCACTTCGAAGTTGGCCTCCCTTGGAACCTCTAGGCTCCCTGTTTGGGGCCCGAAAGATGGTGAACACATTCGGTTGGATTCACTTGTTGATATGGTTAGGAGCCGACTTTATCCCTGATCTCGTTTCTGATACATATAATTTGTTTGCTTGGGCGAGTACTAGGCAGTGATAATCATGCTAGCTCCCTAGAACAAAACATGACACTGAATAAGTTGCGTTGGCTCGGGCATGTGTGCCTGGTCACCGCCTACTTAGGAGGGGCTTGTTTAGTCTGCCAGGTGTAGGGTGGCGCAAAACTCGAGGTGGAGTAAAGTTGAGTTGTCAGCGCGAAATGAACTTACTGATGACCAAACTGGGTGGCGTTGGTCCGTCTCACCTTCCGGGCTGGAGTCCACGTGACCCGTCTTGTGCTTGGCTCGTGACTTTACAGGACATAGATCGCAACCGACACCAGTGGCGCGTCTGCTGCCATCTTCTAATCGGATTGCCTGTTTAAAGTTTGTTTGGTGCTGAGTTATCTGCGGGGTAATGGCTGATTATGACGCGTGGCAGTGAAAACCGCAAGTAAGCTGTCTCGCCGATGCCGCCTTATCTTTGCACGATAGCCAGCTGTTTGTGACGGAATGTTGTCTACACAAGGTGTAGGCGCCTTGACCATGAGTTTGCTTGAGGTATTAAGGTTTTCAGGTAAGTCCCCCTTCTCTCCCTCTTCTTATTCTTTATTTCATATTTCCTCATAGTTGTATGGCAGCGAAGCACCAGTTCAAATGGCCGATGTAACGCTGCTGTTGATTGACTGTTTGCGTCACAATAGCCGGCTGGTAGCTCTCCGGAACCATGTCCATCCATTACTGGTGATTCGGCTGGCGTGCGTGTGTTGCGTCTATTTTTTCTTTCTCATGTATTGCGGCACAATAGCTGAAGTTTTCCCACCTCTAGCTAACGTGCATAATGAATGATGCTAATATTTCTAGACAGTACTATTTCAGGTTACGGAAGCATTCCTATGGTATCCGTTTAAGTTTCTCAATGTCTTCTAGTAAATGTTTGGTGAAAGTGTAAATCACCCGAATTTGTGCAGAATTTCCAGCTTTATCATCTAGATACGCTATCCTCGAACTTATTTATCTCTCCGAGAAACACGACTGTTATTAATGACCTATGTTGAGCAACGGTGTTTCTCCGCAGTTCTCGTAAATGTCAGTGGGAGACCACATTTCTTTTTGAAATAATTCATGCAATCCGCTACCAGTATGACTTGTGATTATTAAAAGCCTTTGTTCCTATTTTTCGCACAGGCATTAGCGGAAGACCTGCGTACTCTGCTGGAACCCAAATGTGACGGCGGGCTTTTTCTATGCCAAGTCGACGAAGCAACAAGACGACTCCGAATTGAAGGAATCTTTCTAGAGGAGGTCGCACAATTTCTTATCAGCCGTGGATTCTAACACAATCAGCATCTTCTACTTCTACATGCATTTGACCATGAACGAATGCGTATAAAAGTGTACATTTATCGCACACACACAATTATAACTTCAAATGATATTCAGTGTGTTGTGCTGCAACTCTGCTCCAGTCCCGTAAGGATTAGACTAGATGAATCACATGTGCGGTGCTTCCATTCGTGAGAGCAATTTGCATCTAATCACTGCTTCTGCACAAGCTTGGCATTTCTATCTTTGGGGCGTCACAAATGTAGTTGTGGGTCACTTGACTACTTCTTTCGGCCACCAATCTGCCGTCATTTTGTTTACTGCGATGTGTTATCGGCAGTTCCGTCTACACTCCGGGCAACACCACCAATCAGTCGCCCAAGTAAAGTAGCACACTCCATCGCAAGCAGTAATTAGCATTACCATGTGCTTGTCAACTTTTGCACGTTGACCTAGCCTTACTATGACAGAAGCAAGTGCTTCTGCGTGCTAGTTACCTAGGGGTGGGGCAAAGTCATATCCACCGAGATGCCCATCCCACGCGCTAATCTATAGTGTGCGCTAATTCCCTCCAGTCGACAGACAGTACCGTTTGCATAGTTCAGCGGAAGAGTGGGCAGGCATCAGTAGCACTCCGGCAACTGCTGCCGACGCTTCGCGGCCGAGCGACGACGCGTAAAGCGATACCGATCGTACCTTAGGCCACCAGCTGACTCGTTTAGCAGAGAGGACAAGCTGTTGAAGTTGCGTAAATAACTTAATCAGCTATTCGATAGACCGCGTTTTCAGCTCCAAGTTGAGTTTAATGGTCCGACACAATGAGTAATACTTTGCGCAGTTCCTCCGACCAAACAGACGAAACGGCATTCGAGGATTGAGTTCATGTGAGTGGAGCTCGAGAATTACTAGACCACTTAAGGTTCATCTGGTGTCAAACGCTTTTGTCAGTATTGGGATATTCTATATCAGACGAACTGTAAATAAGTCCATAGCCCCATCACTCATAAAACCGGTCATCTGATTCCTGAAACTAACAACTTCGGTGACGACAGAATTGCAAACTACGCGAGGAAAGAATTCCTCATAGCTACAAATTCCATAACTGAAGAAAACATATGTTGCATTCTACTAGAGCTGAGATTGTCATTTGTTGTTTAAAAGATGCTGATGGTCCGATATGCCATCTTAATGAGGTGATGCTCTCCTGATTATGCTGGTGCGGCTACGCTTTGAGGTCAGTCGCTAAGGAAAACGGATCTTTTCCATTTAAGCCCCGCCACCCAAAAAGATTATGAAAAGGGAGGATATGGAACTTGAACTTTTACTCTCTATTGAAGAGGGTGAAATTGAGACAAGTCATTAATAATTTGCATGAAAAGGTCCATTTTTCGATGTCTTTGCCTCCAAACGAACTCACACAGGTAGCTGTCCACTAAAGATCGGTGTGTGCCGCATTGGCGCTTATTCTGCATCTTGTAAATGTGCCAGAGAGATTCGATGGTTTGTGTGTGAGCTCCAGTCGTTGGATCCACAAAGTTTTCGGTATGATTAACCTTTTGATGAGTATAACTCATGCCAATCATCGATTCAATGCCTTGGTATGATGCCCACATATCGGAAATGATAATTGAGCCGACACTGTCGGGCATCACACCTCCACCTGTCACAAACAGTTGAAAGTGTCATTTGGTGTCCTCGTCTGCATAAACGTTGATGATGAATCACTCCATGGCTTTGCAAAAAACGTATTGCTGTTTCCTTGTCATGAAGGACCGCCGAAAGCGTCAGAAAGTTCATGTCAGGTTTTACGTGCGAACGTAGAAACTTTTTGGACAAAAATGACCTTAGAAGCGGATAAGGAGTGTTTTTATGGGGCACGTTCACATGCATTACGTACACTGGAGCTGGCAAACAGTGGCGGGGCTCAACTTTTCACGCGTGCCCTTTTTGCACTATTGGTGGGGCTTGACTTTTCAGGTGTACCCTTTTTGCCTTAGTGGCGGGGCTTAACTGGAAAAGATCCAGGAAAACACCTGAATGCCCTGCTTACACAAAATACTAACGATGAGACGCATCTGCACACCTAAATTTATGGTCCACTGATTATCTTCTGTCACTCTAGGGTGTGATCGACTGTAGAGACAGAAGGATGGAAACCGGCCATTTGCAACAAGCAAATGATTACACAAGCGATGCGCCCAACCCACTCAGGGCCATTTGCCAAAAGCCAACAAATACATAGGAGGCCGTCAAGGGATATATTTTAGTGCCAGCTGAACCTAGTTGTAGGTCGCCCATTCATCGTTCTTGTTCGTTATTCGCTTCTTGCATGCGCCTGTTGTTTAATTGATATAGCATTGAAATTTTGACATAACCACTCACCCTTACACATGAAGTCAGAAGTTAGCAGTGCGTTCGAGAAAACGAGTTTCAACCCTTCCGATATCATTTGAGTTGAGTTGTCGATCACTGATGCATTAGTACTGTGTGGGATTCATGATTCGGTCTTTAGGCTTGTAGCCTTTACACCGAGTTCGAATCACCCTCCCGGTTGGGTATGGGTACCTCTGCATATCGCAGCCGAAATACAGCCATGTTAGCGGAACACCAGTATAAAGTATTGGCATATTTAAATGACTTTTGTATCGCGTGTGCGGGCGTTCTCCTAGCTGGCTGATTTTGCTGCAGACGTTTCATCGTCAAGCTAGACGATATCATCATTGCCATTTATGCGGGCCGCTTCCAGACCCAAGCGATTATTGATCACTTACTGGTTCGAACGTCAGGAGCCGATTGGTCCACGTGAGCTGAGCGTGTATAAAGCGCTTGCGTACTGTTGAGTAGAATCCGCCTTAAGGACGTTCCTTTGTCCTGTTGACTGAGTTCTTCACCGAGAACTCGCGTGCTTTTTGACTTTGTATCGCGCGGTCTGATGAACGTTCTGTAAACGGAGATGAGCGCACTAGAAGATGGATGGAATGCGCTGACTGTGATCGAACTTTTTGGAGCGTACGCACGTACGTACTGTGTGTATCCGAATCCAACGATGCGCAGAGATTTCCATCAGGTTGAAGATGCGATGTGTCGCTACCTAACGCACCCTTACTTCAGAGTGAACATTCTTGGCATGCGTAGAACTGCTGAATCGTCATCCATCTCAAGCAAAGAGAGCAGCCTGAGAATGAAGTGGCACGCGATTAGCAAACAACAGACTAAGAGCTGAGTTGTGGATTAGTCTGTGTATCTAGAGAACACCAGGGCCAACGCCGAGTATTTAAAGTTTGCACGAAAAGCGAGGGGTTGCAGCTCTACTAACTCGACGAATTCAATACGAGAGTGAGTACTGGAACATTAAGCGACTTCCGGTCGATGAGTATGGGTGAAGCAATAACTGCCAGCTTGCTTCAAAGGTCGTCTGCACCACAAGTCAGAAACCCCGTTGATCCCTTAGAGTTTTCAATGAGGTAAAGGCAACCTACAGAGCGTTTTGCATGGCAAGGAACGCTGCTTTTAGTTCTGCCTCGATACTAGTTATGCAATCCTTTCAGCGGTGCACATGTACAGTTTCAAGTGTCAATGAGGCTCAGAACGCGCAGGCATTCTAATGTTCCAGATGAGAACCCGTCAGAGCCTGATCCTATTCAACTAGCGCTTCTATTGTACTGCACAGTCATACACTCCCGCTTTGGTATTCCAGGTGGTTAGTATTCTGTGGGTTGCTTGGAGGCAAACGGAAATTACTCAGCTAAGATCTATGAGAATGGTGAACTAGAAGGCGGCATCATCTGCAGACTAGTCTGTCGCGGGATGAGAGTTGCCTGTTGCCAGCCAGAACCACTGCAATCCATAATCGGTTTGGTGTTTTTCTGCACCCTACAAGTAAATAGACACAAAATGGAACCTCAACAACTTTCACGTGATGCTCGCTGGGTGGTTCGGGTTAACCCCATTCCAGTGAATAGTTTAGCGGCAGTGTTCTAGGATGTAGCGGGTTTTCGTCTGGCAAGCGTTCTCCCCATAAAAAGCCACAAAGGTCCGTTTAACAACACTGCGACGTGGCGGATGTGACTCACCACTAAATAAAGTCACTGCCTTCCCCCACCTTCCGGAGGATCTTCTCCACTATATGAACGTCATCCAGTTCGAAGAGTCCCTTCGATCCCTTCATGTGATGGCGAACACAGCAAACAAACTCACGGATTCAGCCACACTTCACTTACTATATCTAGTTACACATGCAGTATATATATATATATATGTAGTATGTTAATGGTTAACTTTTTATTTGCACAATTACCGACCATACCTGTTTTTATGATCATGATCATGTCTTCGCAGACGTGCCCCGCACTGCCGAGAAAGGCATTTATTTTTTTATGGAGATTGCCGGACGACGTCGTTATCCGTACACTACCCAGCTCCGTGGGTAACTACGATCACCCAGTTCGGACCGAGTTAGGACTGATTCTCGGTTATTACGTCGGGTTATAGATTCTTGGAATGCGCTGCCGGCTGAAGTAGTGACGGCGCCAACGGTGAGAGTTCAAGCATCAAGTTGACACCCTTGGTATACAGTTTAAAACCTTCCCCTTCTCATCTTAGCTTTGCTCTTATCTGTTGATGCTTACACCTTTTTAACTACTCAGTTGCATTCCAAAATTGTTACATTCATTGCTCCAGCTTGCCCTGTTTTTGTTCTTCTTCCACTTTTACTTCATTTCACGTGGCTGGCACAGCGGGGACTGCTAGTGCAGGGCACACGGGCATTATCTGGCTGACCTAGCATGTACCGTGTGTGTTGATTTGGTTCCTTCTTGCAGATCGCCCCACAGATTTCACTCCAGGATCAACGATGGCTTACAAGGTGGAACAATCACGGGATTCTCCTACTGTTCCGGTCCCACTTCAACTTGATTTCCACTTACAAACCGGAAACCAGTCGCAAGAAAGGAAACACAACTTTTGCAGTTTAGTTGGTCAATAAACACTCAGTTTGATGCATCATTCTGGAGTTCGTGTGTCGTGTTTCCGAAAGACGCGTACAAGGTCAAAGCGACACAACGTGATTGCCGACTGTATCTGGAAATTTGAGGATTAAATCGGAAAGGTTGTCGCTCTACATTATGGCACACATCTTGAAGTGTACGCCTGCACAAAAGAAAATGACAGTTTACATGGAAAACAAGGATAATATAACAAATCGCGCCAGCGGTAGCTGCGCTATGCTCGTCTCTTTTTCTCCTTTCTTCCGGAAGATCCATGTGCGACACCAGCCGCAGTGATTTCGTTGTTTGCACCCGTCGATCGAATCTCCTCATTTGTGATTCGACGCCTGGTGGTTCCTCCTCCCACGGGCTTCTTCTTGCCTCCGAATAGAGGCATGGAAGATAACAACTGAAATGAAACAACGTGATGAGACGCTTTGAACAGTGGTACGAACGGGTGAACTGTGTAATCAGCAAATCGAATGCTACTCATCAATCTACGTCTTTGGCAACTTTCCATAGTTAAATGTAACCATTTCTGAGGTTGCAGATCATTGTTGCGGCGGATTACCACATGCCTTTTGCCATATGCATGCGTTTCATCTGCGGAAATTAAAGTAGAACAGCATGCGGATGAGCCTCACGGTCATCGTTTACAAGTCAGGAGAGGGTGAGGTTGCATGACGGTACCCAGGGCCTAAAACAACACCGAGGCTTTATAAACGCAATATGCAATGATAGAGCATAAGTACATTTTGTGATTTGTCTTGATTTAAAATGGATCTTTCTGACAGTTCCGTGGAGAAATCCATCGCACCCTTGCATTCAGGTAACTGCTGCTCCAAATTATTAACCAATCCACTATGGCATTTCTCTTTATGTTAAAACTTGTTTTTTTAAACCTGATTATCGCACTATTGTTGATCACTATCATCTTCATGGCAAGTCAAAGTAACGGCCCATTGCGCTTCCGCGTCCAGATTACCAGTAAGCATATGAGGCGAACGGCATATGCATTGTGCACAGGGAAAATAGGGCATTTTGGACATTGTGGAACAACTTCGCTAGCCTAATTGAAGTAGAGTTAGCCAACCATACACATTACTTAACCCATGTTCAAAACCAACCAAAGAGTGGATAATGGCAGTAGGGATTCCGCGTAAAAAGGAAATTTTGGAGAGCACTGAATTAGGGTCGTTTTCCGAAGAGCCAAATGCTAATACACTTGAAGGAACCCCTTCCGCTATACAGAACAATTAGCAGTCTTTACACAATACCATGTAAATATTATGTAAATGCGTATAAATACCAAACGTACTAGACACAGGACATGAGATCGACTTCGAAGACGTCGAGATTGTCTGTGGAGCTCACAGTTAAACACCCAAAGACTACTGCGGTGTAAAAATCCCCAAAGCCAACAACTGCGTGAAAATAATATGTGGGGTACGGCTGTCGATTGTCTAGTGTCCAGTTTTGCACCGGCCAAATTGGTGGGCGTCGGCGGATACCTTCGGACTTGAGCTGGATTACGAAAACCACTGCTACCACGACTAAGATCTTAGTAAACAAAACACTTCCTCATTAGATGTTTGACCGACTTCCTCCCACTAGGTCATTTGACGTGGCAGCACGACATACACCCGTGTAATCTTTGTTGCGAATTTTTGTCTAGGTCTGCTATAACAACATACCGCACAATTTTAAGCAGTTGTTTCGAAAACGCTTTAGTGCCAGAAACGGATCGTTATTCAGTGAGTACATTAAGGAATTGTCCACAAGAATTTTCATGAATATTCCAATATATCGATGTTAGTGGTAGCCGGAAAGATGAGAAGTATACGATGGGAAATACGCATAAATATGTCTGTTTTTTACAATTGTCCTACCATTGATGTATCTCGCAGTTTACATGAAGCGAATGCTATGTATGTCTATACAACTACCGAATGTCACAAGTGGAGGGTAGAATGCCGAATTGCCAAGACGTAGAGAAGCGTCATAAGACGATAGAATGAACGCAGTCTCACTTTGTCGATGTTCTCGTTTCACAAAGAAACATCGGCGTGTGGCATGAAGAACGGCCCCATAAAAACCACTTTGTTTCGATTCAGCAAAAAGACGAATACATATTGCGGTTGATAAGCATAAAGCTGGGAAAATAATTCAAGGCTGTGTCAATCGGAGACACGTTCTGTTTTAAAGATGGAAACTGCGCTCACAGAACACATGGACAATTATGCAAGCAGTACACAACTTCACGTTTACCAAGAGCGCAATCATTTTATGTCGAATTTGACACTCGACTCAAGTAGAAGTGGGTGGCGATTCGGTATACACATCGCTACGAATATGCTCATCCAGGTCAGAAAGCGGCGAACATATGGTCATCATGAACATTTTCGGCTGTAATTTACCTGGGATAAGGGGATGGAATAACCTATCGATTTGGACCGGTTGCGTCTGACGAGCAACGTACTGAGGAAATGAGTGTTTTTCGTGAGACCGGTGTACTCTCTGGCCATGTTGCAGCCCAAGGGATATCTATCAGATACTTATGTGTGGCTCCTTACTATGCCTGGTTTCGTCGTGCTAAACAGATCCCAAGTCCCCCCAAAGAGAGACGACGATACAAAACAGGATAACAGTTTCTCAGTCAGCCCGTGCACACCGTTTTTCAGTGTAGTTGGCCAGTTCCTCACAAACTTCTTACCATTAATTTTAGCCTTAGTAAATAGCATATCAGCAAGTAGGTGGAAAACATGACATTGTTGCGACAAACACTTAAGGTCAAATAAGTTATCTTGTGCAATTTCAGAGAGTATCTTATAAAGTACAAACTGGTATGCATCAGGTTAGATTATCCTATCTCCCTACCATATTTGAGCAGTTCTGTACGTGCGCCGTTGATCAAGCATGATAGTTCGTTTTGGGGGATCAATACGAAATATACGTTTGAATGAATTCGACGTTCAATCTCGAAGTGGACTGCAATTCAAATCTCATTGGTACCCTAACCCATGGCCGACCTGTGGCCGAAATGATCAGGGGGACGCAAATTCGAGCCTGCGTAGGGGACGGGGCGACCCTCGCAGTATCGTTAGTCCATGCAAGGCTGATTTTGGTAGCGAAGCGTCGGTACTGCGTACCATATTGCTGATGCCTTCTCAGTTTTCTTCTTACCGCAACTGATGAAATAGGCAGATATTAGGTGTTTCCCGACTAAATTACTGCACTCCATGATGCGTTTCGACCTTAATTCGATTTCAACAGCTAGTTCTTAATATTCTCAGTGCACAAATAGCATTTGTACCACGCATCTGTCTCCACAGGGTAACTGAGACTTCAGAACGCGCGAGGACCTCGTTGGTCATCTTGTATGGAGACGAAAGGCAATGATTACCCAAAAGATAGGAAGACCACGAAAACAAGAGCGAATGGAATCAGGAACAGGCGCAACCAGTGAGAGTAGACAGAGTAACACTGTCCTGCTGGAACGAGCTAAGACTGGGTCACGAGAGACGATTGGTAGCGAGCCTGAACCGAGAAGAACAGAGAAGACATTCTTTGAAAGTGCAATTAATCAGACGAAAGCACCAGTATTAGAGCTTCCAGGACTGATTTCAAGCAGAGTAATGCAGACACGACCAAGGAAATTGTGATCTATGGAACGAATTCTAGCTGATCAGAATGGGGCATACAGATGGGAAGAGATGGAGAGAAACGGCGCAAGCCGCGTATGCGCATAGATTTGTCGCGAGCGGACTCCAGAAAATGGGGTGCGTCGTTGGAAGGAAACGTGAGTCATACCTGTTGCCTGGTTCTATTCACTGTTGTCGCGTTAATAGAGATGGCTACATTGCCGCGCAATTCTGCCAAAATCCGACTGACAGCGGTTACATGGCTACCAAGCTAGTCGAACATGCGCTAAATAAGTCTAATAGGAAGCAATTTCAAATATAACCACCGCTTGAACGGCACACCACAATTAGGTTGAACAGAGGATATTCAGAGTGGTCGTCGTCCTGTCGACAGAAGCGAAAGTATGTATAGCATACTTTAAAGAGGGACGTACTTCACTGATGTCCGGTAACTGTTGCTGTAAATTCATTTGTTGCAGCTCTTTCTGTATTTCCGGATCATTGGTGTTAACAAGTTTAGTGAGAACCATCACCAGGAGGAATGGTACAAGGACGTAGAGAACATTTGAATTGAAGAGCAAGTCAATCGTTCTTAGCTGTTCCCTAGGCTGTAATAGAAACAAAGTGGGGAGCAAATGATAATGTAGGCCAACCAATGAGGAAGCAATTTGAACTTATTGATTTATTTAATAATGTCCTGCAGAAGCATCAAGTCGTTTCAGGAACATTCAAGTGTATTACTCGACATGCACCTTCCTCATTGTCAGCCGGAACATATCTAAGTTACTAACCTTTGCAGCTGGACTGTCCGGATTAAAATTCGACCATTCACGGACTGGCGGCTCATAAGTATGAACTCATTGCAGTGTCTGTGTTGTTCCGGTAGCCGTTTCTTAATCGCTATGAATTCTTACTTTGGCTAGGATTTGAGCTCGGGATAAACGTGATAGCTTCAACCTGGATCGCATAAGAGAGATCTAACGGCTGAGATAACCACAAAACAGGAGTGTAGAAAAGTAATGCAGTATCCGAGAGAGTAGATCACATCAGATAATCCACTAGTTAAAAAACGAGTGGAATCAATAATGACCAGTAGAAACATCTAGTCGTTTCGAAAAGTTTAAGTCTGTTACACGACGCACGATCAGCTCTGAACCACTAATCCTGATGGTTTACCTAGCTGCTCTGCCAGCGGAACATTCGTGAGTCGATCTACAAATATGCGTTGGTTTCCGGACTAGTTGTCCCGTATACATAGCTGCTTTTGCGCCGCAGTTGATGTTGTGACTGGCTGAAATTCAGAACTTCGGCTAAGCCAGATCGCTTCTACTGGATTTGCAAGATGAACAACGGCAAAAATGAGGGTGGTGAAGGCTAGAATGTTTCACAGAATATAAGAGTACTGTCTCAAACCTACTACGAAGATGGGTGATCGTACACACACTTTGGTGCGAGAGTTGGCATACCCAAACGGGCAGGCGGAGAAAAAAAAGGGTGGTAAGTTAATTCTGAACCAGTTGAACTGGTTCGCATGGAGTGGTGACTCTACCGAATAGTCACGATTTCAGGACTTCCTTAGTGATCAAATAAGAGTGCAGGGGGAGGTGATCACTCGGATCCCATTTATCACTTGAAGGACAAGTGTAGCTAAACCGAAACAACATGTGTTGGAATGAGTAGCAAACGGGTGGCTGATTGAATGAGAAAGTTTGCGCAGATCGATAGGTCAAAAAATCACCTTGAAGTAGATAGTTCTTCCAGTACTTGATAGACGCAATGGATAAGGTAGTTCCTTAACGGCGTTTGGCTGAGGAGCATTCACTCGGCGTGCTCTGGTTCGGCCTTTGGAGTTGATGTCAACTCTGCTGGTCTGGAAAACAAGGAGCGTAGAAACAATCGTGATTATGAACAAGAAAGTTAAGTTAGAAATTGTTAGTATTACTGTATTTGTCCATTCAAAATGGATATATTTCACATTACGAATCAGTGATTTTTCAGCCTATCCTGTTTGGAATGATCATAAGCAGAATAGACCGTGACACGCAATCCTAATCTACACCGCCCACCTGGTTGAGAAGTGGGTAGGGCGCTTGGTTCGCCTTTGCAGACGACCTGGCAATATCTCAGTCCGAAGGTAACCTGTGCTGATAGCTTGGCAGCGAAGCACGGGTTCGATATCCAGGTGTGTTACTGATACCATTTCTTCCTTTCTTGACTGTCATCCATCTTGAGTGAACTTCGACAATTTCGCTCAAGGGGACAGCGGTGCCGAAAACAGCTGAATGAGAATTGTTACCCGTTACCAACCCTGCCCATCAGCAGCAGCAGGAGCAGCAGTATACACGTTAGTTGCAGGTGGGAAACACCTCAGGTATTGTGCCGCAATACAAAAGAAGAAGAAAAACAAGAGGCATGCCGGCTGAGTCCCCAGTAACGGATGGATAGTGTTCAAATAAGTTAATAGCCGGCTATCGTGCCGTAAAAAAGAGTTATATTATGCCCAACAAATGAGATCGTGGTTGGAGGGGGACACTAAGCAGGAAGGGATGGACAAATCAACTCACAACACAAACGCCATTGCGGCCGGCTCCTAGCCATATCAGCAAGTGTGTCCTTAGGACCCCAGCCAGACAGTCGGGATGCACCAACCGACGCAAAATCATCGCTTGGCCTCCCCTCTTCTTCTTCCAACTGCACCCCCGGCGCGCAAATAAAGCACGTTGCGGGAGTTGGTGTGCTGGCATGCGCAACACGTGGCCAAGCCATCGGAGTCGAGTGCGTGATATAATGGTGCTGAGCAGTTCACTAGATTTTCCTGCACCAAATATGCGACGTCGAACACGCTCATTGCTCACGCGGTGCTCCCACCAGACATAAGCTAAGCTGTGGAGGCAGCGATGATCGAACGTGAGCAGCTTGTTTATGTTTATCGATCTGATGGGCCAGGTTTCACAACGGTATAAGAGGGTTAAACGGACGGCTGTATTATAAACTCTGGCTTTCAGAGCGAGAGTAATGTGGCGTCTGCGCCAAAGATGGCGGAGTTTGGCAAAAGCAACTGGAGGTTTTGCTACATGGTTCGTAATCTCAGCTTCGAACCCATGGGCGCTAATACAGCTGCCCAGGTACTTTAATTCCTGAACTTCTATCTGATCACCACCAAGGGTCAGCGCAGGGATGGATCTTTGCCAATGTTGGAGAACTTTGAAAACGTTTTGACAAACTGTGGATCGGTTGTTGTTCACTCTCGTCGCGTATTGTCTCGCTAACACCAGGTCTCCTGCTGCCTATTTCCCATATCAGGTGGAGTGACTTACGATGATTACCAACGGCTGTTTCCATTTCCGATGCACAATGAGACCACCAGGCTTCGCAGTCTCTTTTCAGGCTAGCACGCAGTTTTACCCTGACCCTTGACCTTGACTGCCTCAGCGCGTCCGTTTCAAGATGCGAGTAGTCATCAGGATGGTTTTCAGGCGAAAGTAGGTTGACCATGCACAATGAAGGGAGTTGGCTGCGAGTTGTCAATCGGTGTGCCTAGAGCGTCCCTCAAGCTATAAATTCGGTTAAGGAAGAATCAATCAATTGGTTACAAAGCAGACATATAAAGCAATAGCAACGTCAATCCCGTTTATGAAGAACAACACCAACAAGACGTAGGGGGAAAATCAGAGCGATCGTTTGCACACCTCCGTAAGTCACTCAGCTGTGCCTGGTGACCTTAGAGCTAGTGACACCAGACAAATCAATGAGTGCAGACCAGGCAAATGAACTTCGCATAAGCAAACTCCACACGTATGGCACATACTTGAAAGACGAATCCGTGGTGAACGGGTTCTACGACGTACGATCCAGATGGGACCCCGGATATAATGAAACTCCCGTCTTGCCGGACGAACCCCAAATGTTGCGCCCCATCTAATATTACTCGCGCATCCACGTACCAATCTTTGGGGGCGTTTGCGGGGGGAATGAGCACACCCTCGATTGTGTATGCGTGAGTAAAACAGGAATGCCGAAACAGGAGTGCAGTTGTAAACAGAACAAAGTAAACGTAGACCATAGCTAAAACGAAGAAATAGAAATGAATTCACCACCAAAAGTGTACAAACAACATACAGAAATGTACATGGCCCGTAAATTACTTGTTTCTGTGCTCCATCGCGATGACATTGGTCTCTAACGTGACTCATTGAATTACGCTGGGTAGAACCTCCCAAATGTCTTGAAAGCCGCCCAACCACTAAGCGTTAGATCGACTCAGACCAAGCAAGTTTGGTGGGGGTTAAAGACCCTTTCCTCCAAAAACCTACCAGTATGGAGCAAACTACAAGTTACAAACTAGTTTCGATTAGGCCATAGCGTGAGTATCATGAGCTATCTATTATGCTGGGAGCGCATCAGCGTGCTCAATTTTTCCTACCGACCGTCTTCAGCCATCGATGAGGACAGCACGCACTAGCCTGATCAGGTCTCTCAGTCGATTTCTTCATTCCACTATGTTACGTCATGGACTGGCCACCTCGCGGTTTCACCCAACTTGGTGCAGCCGTGGCGTATCATGCACGCCGAGGAAAACGGTCAACGGGCATATGGAGAACATGGCCTAGCCAACGCAAGCGATTAAGATTCAGCAAACACTCGAGTGAGGAACCAGCAACCTTCTCGCCAAAAACCAACTGGCGGAAATCAGCATTGTTCATCCGGTGTTCCCACCAGACATGAGCAATACTCCGCAAGCCCCGGTGGTCAAACACGTCCAAGCATTTGATGTCTTCGTCACGAACTGGCCAGGTCTCTGATCCATACAGTTTATCGAACTTACCGCAGCGTTATTCACCCTACTTTTCGCTGACAGGCAGATATCCCACCGTCTCCATATATGGTTGAGTCTCTGGAAAGCCACACGAGCCTTGCAGATACGCGAAGTAACTTTCTCAGTGATGTGGCCACCAGAGGTAACACGGCAATTAAGGAAAATGAACCGATCCACCACTTCTAGTGGCTGTTCGATGATAGCTAGAACCGGAGGTGTACCGGTCCAATCCTGCAGCAGTACGTTGCATATTGGAGGTGTAATCATGAGCGTGATCATCAATACACGTTAGCCGAGGGTGAGAAACACATATCAAGTAATGTACCGCAATACAAAAATGTAAGGCTAGGCAATGTAGACTTAAAAACTATGAAAAAGTAACAATGCCAATATCACATTTGTGATGGTTGTTGGAGGGGAATCTAAAGGGAAGGAGAGGGATAAAGAAACCCACAACACAAACGACACTGAGGTAGACTCTTCGCCATGTCAGCAAGTGTGTCCAACTAAACGTGTTCATCATTATTCGGTCGCCAGCCAGGCAGTCGGGAAACACCAACCGACGCCAACTTTGAGATGAGGGACTACATTCCTCCCGACCAAGTCATCGTTTGGCTTCCCTCCTCTTCGTCCATTCACACCCCGGTGCGCAAATAACTCACGATGCAGAAGTCGGTGTGCTGATATGAGCAACACGTACTAGCCATAGGAGCCTGGTGCGAGAAATAATGGCTCTGAACGGTTCATTCGCTCTTCTTGCACCAAATACGCAGCGCCGAACACGCTCACTCTTCACGCGGTGTTCCCACCATCCATGAACTATGCTGCGAAGGCAGCGATGGTCGAACGCAACAAGACTCTGTATGTCCACCGATTTGATGGGCCAAGTTTCGCAACCGTACAGAAGAGTTATACGGACGGCTGCATTGTAAACTCTGCGCTTCAGAGCGAGAGTAATGTCACACCGGCGCCACAGGTGGCGGAGATTGCCAAAAGCGCCTCGAGCACCTGCTATGCGGTTTGTGATCTAATCTGGCGATGATATAGCTGCCCGGATACTTGATTTTCTTGACGACTTCCAAATTATCACCGTCAAAGGTCAGTACAGGAGTGGGTCCCTGCCAAGCCTGGAGGACTTTGCATTTCAAAGGTGCAAAGCGAGGCCCGAAACGACTGACAGCCAGAGCTAATTTATCCAGTGCAGCTTGGCACGTTTGAAAGCCGTCACAGATGAGCGCTATGTCGTTCACCTGGGATCAACTCCACACCTGTCGTGCCCAGCGAATGCCATTTCCATGACTTCATCAATCGCGAAATTAAAGAGGAAAGATGACAGCGAACAACCTTGTCTCACACCACTGGAGACATTGAAGGGCGGTGACAGCTTGCCGTAAATACTCAATCTGCCCGAGCTACGCGCATATAGCGCTACGGAGAATGTTTACATATTACCCGGGCACATCTTTCCTGAGTAGACAGTTCCGAAAAGCACATAGATAAAGCGAATCAAAGACCCCTCTGAGGTCTAGGAACATGACTACGGTGGATAACCAATAAACATGGCGGTGCTCCAACAACTGACGTAATGTGAGGAAGTGGTCAATCCATTCACGATTTCAACCAAACCTGGCTTGCTCCTCGCGAATCTGGTTTTCATGTGTGCCAGTCAGTCTGTGGAGGATGAGACGCAAGCAACTCAGAGGCAATAGAGATCAGACTGATTCCTCTATAATTGCCGCATTCAAAACGGGAGCCACCTCTGATAATTGGAACTATCACAGTGCGCCTCTAGTCTGTCGGGACAGTCTCCTGCTCCCATAGATTCACTAGCAAGTCATGTAAATTGCCAAAAGAGCAGGCCCTCCAAATCTAGAGAGCTGGATAAAGTCCAACTGCTCCGGCGGCTTTGTTCAATTGCAGACGTTTGATCTCACGTTCGATTTCTGCGCGCGAGGGCGCATCCAAGGGAACGGTCCAGAGAGTAGAGTGCTCAGTAGACGATGGAAAAAATGGAAACTCTGACTGATTACACTGCTTATTAAAATGTCCGGCCCAACGCTCCAAGCACTTTGAGAAGCTGTGGATCGATTGTCCACTCTAGTGGCGTATCGTCCCGTTAACACCAGGTATCGTATCAAACGGAATAACCTCCGATGATTACCAAGAGCAGCGGCTATTTCCATCTCAGAGGCATGATGAGACCACCAGGCTTCGCGGTCTCTAAAGCCGTCGCAACGAGACTGGACTTTAACGTGGTGCGACGGTTTGCGTACCTCCATGACCCACTAAGCTATACTGGGTGGCGGTCGCACGGCAGCGAAGCGCCGTTACGACGTACAACTGACATTATTATCATTATTACTGGGACAATTGAGATCTACTCCTACCAAGTTGGTCAATGGTGTGAGTCAGACAAACTCAGTCTCCTGGCCCCCCACGTTGGGGATTTTACATGCGATGGCCTCGATTTCTGTAAAACTAAATCATTGCCACCTCCCCGCTGCCCTGCGCACAGGCTTTTGAATCAAAGGCTTTTGTTAAGGATCCGAATCGTCCTCCGGACTAGGTCTGGGTGCCCTGGCAGTATCTCAGCCTATATACAACCACGACTTTTTCTTTAAACATAAATTTCATCCTGCATCGGCCGTCGCGCAGATTATCAAGGGTTGCCTTATCTGCTGCATACAACAGGGCAGATAAGCGAAAACATGTTACTGCTGGCGCCTCCCTTCTTTCTTTTCCACCTTTTTCTCTTACTCCCATTACTAACCTTCCTTCTATAATTCCCAGCTTAATTGACAGCAACCGAACTGCCACTAAAGTAGAGCCATCTGTAGTCACCTTCTCGCGATACGCACCGGACGCCTATCGGCAACCGTCCCTTATAAGACCATGCTATCCCGTTTCCAAGGCGACGTTGAATGTTCGCACTCTAAGATAGGTCAACAGGCTACACTCGCACGCACCTTGATGTGTTGTTTGTCCGAAACTAGGATCAATGACCCTAACGGGGTTATTGAATTAAGTGCGCCCGGCTTGCCTTCTCGCTAAAGGTTGCACGCATCTGGAGACGCCGATGCAGCACACAAGGATCAAGCTGGTGTAAGTGTCATTATAAGCTCTAAGTCTAAGCCATTGTTGTTTGATTGCATTCCGGTGAACAGGTTTAGTGCAGTTTGACGACATCAACTAACGTTGCTTCACGAAGCAGTAAAAAGCGCTGTTTATGATTTCCGCATTTTCTGCTCCCATTGACTGCATTTCCAATGCTGTCAAGGACACATTCTATCACGAACTGAACGCCCTACTACGCAGTGCTACTAGTTCAGATATCATAGTACTTGCAGGAGATATGAACGCACAAGTAGGGCGTCTGAGCTGTCCAGAAGCTCAACTGGGTGGTAATTATAGGCTTAACTCTGAACAAACTGACAACGGCGAGTCTCTGCTGCAACTGTGTGCGGAGCACCAGTTGTTTCTTAGTAGCACTGCTATTAGACACAGTGGGCGCCGAAGTGCCACTTGGCGCCTTCCTGTAGCTGGCCAGCGATGGACCCAAATCCGCCACATAGCCATAAGTTACAGATGGCGTGGTTCCATTTTGGATTGCCGCTCATACTGGAGCACCTGTGTCGACTCTGATCATGCCTTAGTATGCTGTCGTTTCTCCATGAACTTTACCGGGAGGCTTGCACCTGTGGCATTTTATTCGCGTTTCCTTTAATGTATTGCGACACAGTAGCTGAGGTGTTTCCCACCTACAGCTAAAGTGTACAGTGTGTGTTGTGTTACCGGGAAGCGCACCATATGTCTCCTCCGATTGGAAACTGAAAAATTGTCTCAGCGCTCGTTCAGGCAAGCCCATCAAGACGCAGTGTGTAATGAACTTTCGCTATCTTGTCCTAATGACACTGAGCATCAGTGGAATAGGACCTGAGCAACCATGCACGACGCAGGAGAATCCGCTTGTGGTAATATCAATCGTCACCACACCAGTCACTGGATATCCGAGAGGTCGGTGAACCTGTTGGAATCCAGAAGAAACCTCCAGGCTGGCTCTGAGCACAATGTAACCAGACGGACTATTAGTCAAAAGCAAATGCGGAGCCTAGATGCTGACAAGGAAATCTGGTGCATAAGTCCTGCTCAAGAAATAGATGAGGCAGGAGCAGTAGGCAATTAACGCATACTCTTCCAGCTGATCGGCAACACGGGTCCCAAGAAACCAGGCGTCAGCGAGACACTCAGAGACAGCGCAAGTGCGCTGATACACAATATGCAGCGCCGTATGGCTTTTTGGGCGGAACACTTTCAAGATCAGTTGAGCTGGCCTCCAGCACCCGGACATCTTCCTACTCAGGTGATACAGGACGAACCATGGACGGTTAGTTTAGAGCCTCCGTCGGAAGCTGAGATCCTAAACGCGATCACACCCCTCAATCGTTTTCTTGCCGATGGCCCAGGTTCTCTGCCACCTGCACTATTAAAGGATGGAGGTGAGGTCCTCTGCAAAGCACTGACCTCCTTATTCGAACATATATGGAAGGAAGCGTAACGGTTAGCTGCAGTGAATCGATTATGGTGGCAATATACAATAAGCGCGGTCACACAGACTGTTCTAACTACAGGGGTATTAGCCTAACGCCAGTTGCGACAAAATTACTGGCCTCGATTCTTGTTCGTCGACTGACTGCGGGACAGGAATCTCGGATTAGGGAAGAGCAGGCCGGTTTCCACCCGGGATGTGGCTGTATAGACCATATATTCACTTTGCGGCAGGTGCTAGAGCAGTGCCACGCATACCGCAGACCGACAATAGCTGTTGTTCATCGATTTCAAGAGTGCGTTCGACTCAGTCGACCGATCGATTCTGTTCGAAATACTTGCGCAGAAAGGCGTTCCCACGAAGTAGGTGAACATCCTACGTCTTCTACAGTTGAATACTACAGGTCGCGTCAGGGTCTACGGTGGCCTATCGGATAGCTTTTAGACCACAAGTGGCGTTCGTCCGATTTTCTATTTCTGTTCAATTTCGTCGTGGATTCTATCAAAATGTTCCCTTGCGGAATCTCAAGATTTAGTCCTTGAAATGCTGCTTCCTGAAAGGAAATCTGATCTTGATTATGGGGACGATATCGGCTTTGTTTTCGACGATGTTTAGGAGGCCAAGTCAAACCTCAACGTCCTGTAATGAGTAGTCCCATAATTTGGTGTGCGCCTCGCAAATTCAAAGTGCAAAGTGCTAATGCAGGATCAGCATCCATATGATGACTATATGGTTCTTGACACCTAGGAACTTGAGGTAGTTGATCGATTCATTTACCTTGACAACTGCATCAGCAACGACGGGCACACAGAAACTGAAGTCAGTTCACGCATTGCAAAAGCTGGAACTACCGTTTGCAACCTGCGGTATCTTTGGCGAGAAAAGAGAGTTTCGCCCATCCGAAAGTCCGCGCATGCAAGGCTACAGTGAGGGCAGTCCTACTCTTTTGGAGTGAGACTTGGCTCCTTCGGTCTGAAAATCTGAGACGCCTTCAACTCTTCGATCATTCTTGTCTGCGGAGCATTACTGGTGTCGGGTGGCATCAGCGTATCCGCAACGATGATGTGCGTAGGCGAGTACTAGCTAGTGATAATCAAGCTAGTTCCTAAAAACAACAGATAACAATGAATAAGTTCCGTTGGTTTGGGCAAGTACTGCACCTGTCTGGTCACCACTTACTTAGGAGGGCCTTGATTTGTCTGCCAGATAAAGAGTGGCGCAAAGCTCCCGGCAGACAAAAGTTGACTTAGCAGAGAGAAATAAAATCACTGAAGACTAAACTCGGTGCTGTGGATCCGTCTCGTCTTCCAGGCTGGAAAACACGTGACCCACGTCGTGCTAAACTTGAGCACTTACAGGACATGACTCGCAGTCGAAACTATACCACCTGCAAATCATGTTAGGCCATACAGGTAACAACTTGAGCTAACCAGATATCAACCTCATCTGTTATGCTACTACGTTGAAACTTCCGATGAACCAACTTGAGCCAGGCGACCGTGACATGCGCGCACCGTCGTGCGGCTGGTTCCTTAGCCAAGAGCATGTCGGATGCATAGGAGACATAGCAACGTGTACGCATGTGTAGGGCACGGGAGAGTAGGGGAATCACTACAGCTCGGAGTTTGTTCGTATGCGACTTGTCACATGGGCGGTGACGGATTACATGACGGGAGATGGGGGGAGTAACTAGTTAATATCTGAGGTCACCCAAGGCAGACTAAGAGGAAACGGGGTCAGTGTATGATCAGAACTTTGAGCGCGATACACAGCACCATCATAACTGAGCTTGTTATCGAATAGAGCCATTGGCTACCCGCATTCTGACACGGCCGACAGTCCATGTTGCTAAGCTAAACCCCAGGCGTTTGTCCGTACGATCTAGCGCAGGCTGTGGACACATGGCGTGCACGGGACAACGAGCACAATACGAGTTCCACATTGAAGCGCGGGGGCCACAGGTTACTTTGGTCACACCGCTAAATCGCATGTGCACCGGTGGACATAGACACCTTCAATGGTGCGATAATCGTAGCGCAGAAAGCTTCCTGGCGACCTGCTATTGCGATGGGCGACGTATCAACGTCGACAATAAGATTGTAATGCAGCTGAGATATGATTTGTCTTAGTGCTTGTCCCACGGTTAGTCCGCAAGGCGCCTCAAAGCAACGTGTAAAAGTTACGCTGAGTATTGTTTAGTAGGGGCAATGAAGTGAATGCTCAATGAGTCCCGTAGGTTGGCAGGGTGTAGACAACAAAATCCAAAGATGATAGTGAAACCACAGGCGTATACCACTACTGCGGTGATACCATGATGTGCTATGGGTAGAGTAGCTCCCTGGTTGGGGGTCCGAAAAACGATGAACACGTTTAGCTGGATACACTTGCTGATATGGCTAGGAGCCGACCTCAGTGGCGTTCGTGCTGTGAGTTTCTTTGTCCTACCCCATCTCTCTTAGCCTCCCCCTCCAATCACGATCTCACTATTTAACCTTATATAACTTTGCATAGTACTTTTTTGGTTACACAGTAGCCGGCTGGTAGCTTACCGGGACGATGCCCATTCGTTACCGGTAGCTCAGCTGACTTGCACCTGTTGCATTTTCCTCTTTTTTCTTTTATGTATCGCACCACAGTAGCTGAGGTGCTTCCCACCTCTAGCTAACGTGTATAATGAATGAATATGGAGAGAGGAGTAGTGATGCAAGAGGAGGCTGGGAATGGGATGTCTACAAAGGGAGTGGCTTACGGGCTCGTTGTACACCGTCGCGTGCTCCCGCAGATTGCGAGTCGACGAATGCCTTCCTGCTGAGGACAATTATGAATGAGTCTCGCTTGTTCCGCAGGTGTGTTTACTAGGCAGCCGCAGGCAATCAGCGCAGCATCTCAGAGCGTGGGAAGTTCGAGACTGGCCATCTGGTTAAGCATTAAATACCACAAAGCCAATTTTTCCGGCTATAGAATCAGTGACCACCCACATTTTAACCGGAATGAAGAAACTAACGGAGGGTAGATGAACAACCTTGATTACTACTCGCTTCTGTGTGGACTACCATCGACCACTAAGAAGGCGTTTGAGCCACTTGGCTGTCGACTGTGTTCGCATTCAGCAACGAGTCGGATGTTTCAGGAAACGTTTCATGGTCTCTTTACTGCTATACTCGTACCGTTCCGGAGCCACAGGTAGTTCGTTGTCGCTCGAAAGTCGTGTTCTCGGCTCTCGACGGTTCGCGATATACGTTAATCGCTTCACTGCTTTGCGAGTAAGGGCTTTAAGAACTAAGGCGCTGGCTCGGATTACATAAGTTAACCCCCTTCTCCTATCTGGGTAACTGCAAAGCAATTTGTG